ACAACAGGTTCAACCTTGAGATGTACATGTATAGCACCCTCAGCCACTGGCGGCAGAAGTGGTGGGCGAGGGCAGGGGAGCCGGTGGCCCCCCCCCCTTTTCAAGGGGGCATAGCACCCTCACATTTTGCAGGGCCTGCAATGGGGTGGACTTAAGGGATCTGCCTGTTAATGGCTGACGCATGATGGTCTGACAACTTCCCCCCCTTCGAAAATCATTCTGCCGCAGCTGACCTCAGCTCTTCCCTTAGGTGCTTTGAGTCCCTGAGGGTTAAAACATCATGTCCCACATCACAGCTGTTAATAATAGTTAATGTAACGAACACAGTATGCAACCCACGTAGGAGATCTGTGCTTGGCAACACAGCATCCACTCCTGTTCACTTAAGTACAGAAGTACAGAACCTAGAGTGACAAGACTATCACAAGCATTGAAAGGCAACTATCAACGCTGGTTTCACAGAACTGAGTTTGCAAGTATCGATTGGTGTGTCCCTTTAAGATTTTCTACATAGGCATGCATCCCTCCGAGAGGCAGAAGTAAGGGGTGAGCTCAGTCGTTATGCATTCATGCTCCTGTAGTTCCCCCCCCCCCGGAGAAGCCAGGATGGCGTCTGAGGATTTCTTTTCACTGGCTTCCGTTGGCCTCTCACGGTCAATTTGGCGCTAACCTTCCCCCATGTCAAACTCACTCAGCCTGCCTGCTGACGTGATGTGTGCCACCATCTTGGGAGGGGAGTCAAGCACGCTCGTTGGGTCTTCATTTCACCAAAGAGATTTTTCAGACTCGGGGAACTGGATGTATGACAGACTTCAAGGCAGTTGGTTTAATTCTCGCCCAGAGATTACACACAGTCTGCAAGTTAAGGAACACTGAATATCATACTTGTTTATTTGATGAGCTTTGAGGGTTGAGACGGCGATCAACGGTTCAGTCTTAAACATCAACTTTATTTGCCTGTCGTCGTTGGCAGTGGGTTCAATTCAGGAAAGACAATAAGCCCATCCATCAGGGCTAACAATATCAAAACAGTCTACATGGATCGGTAACTTGTGACTAAATAACAGAGTATTACGGCTGGAAGTAAATTATCTACTTGGGGTTTTCTCCAAACCCACGCTTAAACTCAAAGTGACAGATCTGTGTCAGTATACATGTATGTTGTTTTCATGAAAGTTCTCCTACAGGAAAGACTGACAGGATTCAATCTCGGCACAAAAGTTCAGTGCCACATTGTGAAGAAGCACTTTTCTTCACTCCCTATTTCCCAAAATGCTTCGCACCAGGTATTCTGGCCAAGGTGGCATAAGAAATCCTTTCCAATTAAAACAAAAATCCTCCACAGACAGTTCCTTTACCAAGAAGAAATAGAAGCGTTAATAACCACAACAGTTGCCCGGCCATATTACATTTTAACTTCTTAGCTCATTTGCCTGCAGACATTTCGGCTACCTTGCCACACATTTTGAATCACTCATGCTCCAGCCGCCGCTATGCCGTAAAGTTGCCATTCGAGGGACTTGTGTGAGGATCAGCGGCAGTTTTAAGAGAGGCTTACAATCCTTACTCCGTAAGCCCTGAAATCCCCAGTGTTTGTATAGGGTTCTTTACTACTTGCTCCCATGCATGCTTTCCTGCATGAAGAGCCAAACTGGTGAAAAAAAAAAGCTCCTACAAACACCTGTGCAACACTAGCCCCCTGGTGACAAAATTGAGAAATTAGCCTACTTGTACCTGAACACAGTTAACCCGCCCACAGGAACATGTATCGCAGTGTTTTAAATTTGGCCAACATACCACTCCGTAAGACTTCCCTTTACTGAGCATTTTCCTCAGTACCCAGTATTGTTTACACCTTGTCCTTATTTCACCTTTTAATAGTGGAAGCACGCATTACAACCTACCTTCACTTCCTAACCCGGGGGGAGGGGGTTTAGCTACTTTGAAAATGCCAGACCAAGTCCCAAGAACTTTCCACATCGTATTACTTTTCACCAAAGTACTCAGGGGTGTTCAGCAATCAGCAGGAAGATGAAACTCCCCCATACTTCCGAAGACTTTTGACTCACTGTCTTCATCATCCAAACTTCAAACACTAAGCCAAACAGTCTGGTTGCCGATCAGACACCATCTTAAAATCATCTATCTCACCAAAGTTTTCTTCACGCACACTTCATAAAAGCTCATGTTCTGATAAGCACTGGTTCATGTATCAGTCGGTACATTCACATATTAACTGGCAACTCGGCCTGTACTACAATTTGACAGAAATTGATGACCACAGTCTTAGGGAAATCTCACTCATTAATTCAATGAATGTACACATATCTATCAACACAAATCACCCAAAGCAGAGACATAATGATGGCATAAATCATACCGAAGATAAGCCATTTGTTCTTCTCTACGTGAAGACAAGTAAAAACTTCTCTTGAGCAATGACCTCAAATTCTAAAATCTCCCCTGCAGAAGCAGCATTTCTTGAGTCCTCACTGAATGCCCTCCTGAACATAAAAATCAAGATTTTCCGCTTCATCTCCACACAGTGGAAGAGTAAATACTTTGTCTGCACTTTGGGGACCCTGAAATGTCACAACTACCCTCCAGACTTCCAAGCTGCAGACTCAAGATTGTCTGTGGTTGCCTCTGTAAGCCCATTCCACTCAACAGCTTCGTCGCATATGAGAGAGGAATGAACAATAGCCTGTCCTTGTTGAAGGGGATTAGACTTCCTTTCACAGAAAAGCCCTCAGACCCCAATTTTTGGGATCCTATACAAGAAGCTTTTGCCACCCCCCTCCCAACCATTGCCTAGCCCACCTCAATACCCAGATAGTTTCATCCGACAGAAAGTAACAGCAGACAGGAAGTAACTACCAGCACACCGTGGAAGGAGGGGAGAAGGGACGTCAACCATGCCGGAAATTGAATGTTACCGCAGTGCTGACGTGCGAAGTGAGTGAGACTTTGCCTCATGAAGCTGTGGCCATTTCGGGGGAGGGGGGGTGCTGTTTGCAGGAAATGGCTTGGAGGCCAAGCGGGGTGGAGATATCAGCATGTTGCAGTACCTGGGCTGTCAATGGTAGGGATCAGAGCGGCAGGTTGATGACAGGTTGTAGCTGAGAGCCACACACTTTGGCCGGGTGATGTAACAATCGGCGATCTGGTGTGTTGTATCACCATGAGTCTAGACTCACCCTTGCACGGCACGGCTCCGACCAGTTGTTGGAGGAAAACCACAAAACCAGGTTGGGCACGTACACCATTTGTGAAGTGAAGGGCAGTAAATATCAAGGTTGAGTTTGACCTTAAAGGGTACAATCAAGAAAGTTCTCAAGAGACCAGGACCTCTGCTATCTAAATAAGAATCTTACTTGATTGGATATCGAGTTAATCAACTTGACTAAAAGCATACCATCACCAACAACAGGTCCTCTCAGCTGGCAACAGGAAACAAGAGCTCACACTGATTGAAGTACATGATAACTTTCAAATCATGGAAGCCCCTGGCAAGTGACTTTCATGAGTTCCATGGCCTTGTGGTCTAGTGTGAATGAACTAGCAATCTTGTGGGCAATTCTGCAGATGGCACTTAAATGTCCAACTGGAAGACCGTGGTGCTATGTGTCCTCAGCTTGACACTTAGTCACTCATCTGAGTCTCGCAAATCCTAGATTTGAAGATCAAAATCTTATATCTTTCAGCTGATGTTACATTAAATGTGAAGAGGGTGATTCAACTAAAGCATACACATGGGTCACCAAAGCCAGCACAGGTACAGTTGCAAATTACGGAAATCCTCCCTGAGCTGTGCTTTGGACATTCCTTTGGTCGAGACTGATAAGTTCTTCGGCTTCATTTAAAAACTACCACGTATGAAAACCTGAGAATTTGACAAGGTCTGATGCATGTAGAACATGACTTTCAAATGGGGAAATGGATGACTTTTTTTACAACTATACACATGCATCACCATTCGCAGTTTCTACACCTTGAACATTTAGCTAGTACAAAGATATCCCAGGGTGCAACAACTGAAACCCCTGAATCTGCTTGACTTCCTGGATGTGCATGAACATCAGGTAATACTTTCCACATCTTTTAGAAGAACGTCAGGCCCTCAAAAACAATATTTGTTGTCGGGCCTTTTTCTTATCAAGCAGTGCCAAACTCTTAATAAGTCGGCTTAGGCAACGGAAACTGGGGGGGAAGTCTCTGAAACTCTCGTTCATCACCTGTCGACTTGATTTAGGCTTTTGTGCAAGCCTGCACAGAGAAGGCCTCGACAAACAATTACGACCCTTCAGTTCCCTGAACGTGCACTTTAATCTGAGGAAGTGCTAATCGACGACTCTTTCTCAGCAACTCGGACAACTTGGAGGATTTTTTTGTCCAGAGTTGAGAAGAGTGGGCAGAGCGCCAACATGGCATTTTTGAATCACAATAAAAACAAATTCCAGGGAACAGAGTTTAATAAAGAGAAGAGCATGCAGAATCATTACTTCATCTTGACTCACAGGACTATACATGTCCAAAAAAAAAGTCGTCTCTTGTCAGCTAAAGGGCTTGTTAAAAACAAACTGTTTAAATTCATGCTTCCTCTAACCAAGTTCACATGTCAAGATAGCGCTCTTTACGCTGGCAATCCTTCTGATGAAAACCAGATCCTAACAACAGCCATGTCCCTTAATTCAATGAATCTTTCAATATTTGTCGTCTCATTTTCAAGAGTTTCTTATCTTCAGAACTAACCTTTGTAGTAATAATGTAGTTGCTGTTGAACCCCTGCATTTTGTGACCAATAAAATGAACACCATAAAACAAAACCTGTCCTCTGTTTTTAGTAACGAGTGGGCTTGAAGCCTAAGATGTGCAACTTGTGTTTTTATCAGCTGATATCTTTCCAAACCAGCAAATTTCTAAGCTGCAAAAGAAAAAAAAAGAGAGCCAATTTAGTTACTGAAATACATGTGAGACTTCACCCTCCCTTGTATACTAACCTCCCGGTCTAATTTCTGCTTTGTCATGGAACAAACGAATCTGGGAGGAAGATGCATGGTTGACGATTTCTGCCTCATGAGCAGTGTATTTCTGGTAACTGGTCTTGGGCGACAGCGACTGACTACGCTTGAGTGGTTCCGTGATCTTGACAGGCCGGGATGTGACGAACGTCTGTGAGGGGGAAGTGGACCCTTTACTTGAGGCGCTGCTGTCGGAAGTGCCTCTGGAAGACCAGCTGGTGGAGAGGGAGGAGGAAGATGAGGAGTTTGAACCCCGAGCAGACAGATTGAGAGGTTCAGGGTTTGAATCCTGCTGCAGCGAGGGTGCAACAGTGCTGGGACTGGTACGGGTGGAAGGGAAGCCCGTCGGCGGGAACGAAGCATGGGGGATAGTCAGAAGACCCTTTGGGCTGGCGGTGTGCATGGGGGGCTTGACGGGGACAGGGATCCCCGTGGTGAGCTGGGGTGATGGAAGCCCTGGGTGACCGGCTAAGAGGTGGGAGGTGCTCAGTCCAGCCTGAGTGGTCTTGGTCCCTGTCTGGGTGCTGCTGCTGACGGCCGTGCCATCTGGCGCAATCAGCACCGGTGCCACCCCAGCAGGGTAATCCTGGGGGTAAATGGGCACCAGTCGAATGAACTGCCCGCTCTGGTGCTGCATGGCCTGGGTCAGGATGGTGATCTTATGCTGCTGCTCCAGCAACTGCTGCTGCTGGCGCTGTAGCATGTCCTGCTGAAGTCGCTGCAGCTCCATCTGCCGCTGCTGGCGTTGGATCTGCGACCGGTGCATGGCGGCTGCCTCTTGCTGCTGGGCGAGGAGCTGTTCCTTCAGGACATTCAGCTGGGAGAGGAGTTGTTCTAATCTCGCTTCTTTTTCGGCAAGGCTCTTGGGTGTGGGTGCTCCAGGCTCTGGTGCTTTCCTCAACTCCATCTCAGCCACCTGCAAAAGACAAAACACAAGCTGTCATCAACTTCTGAAACACAGATGTATCTGGTGCTTCCATTCTCACAGACAATGCTGCTGCCTGACCCAGAATGCCTGTCAAATCACAAACAATCAAACAGCTCTTCTAGCTACATGTAAGTTGTGGAGTAAAGAAATCATTGAAATCACAGGTATTCAGTTGTGCCTGTGGTCATCATGTCATGTATGGATACATCTCACTTCATAAAGAACTTGTGACATAATGTGCCTGAATCACTGGAAGACAAGAAAAACACTTGCGATTTGATCACTCCAGCCATGTCAGACTTACTGGGCTGTAGCTTGAAGTTACACAAGTATGGAAGACATTGGCTAGCAGCCATAGCCACGTTCCCATAGATTTGATTTGATTTGGACACAGCCCTGGCATACAATTTCTTTAGAAGGGTTTAGACTAAAGCCCTAATCTTAACCAAATCCTCTACAACATCAAACATTGCGCAAGCAGCGCTCTGTTGCTTTGTGCCATGCGGCCAGCTGTCTCAGTAGAGGGATTTTTCTCCAAGTTCTGAAGATCACACAATTTTGGAAGGCAGTGCTCATTAAATGTTAAGAACTGAAATAGAGCTGAGCTTGCGTCTAGATCATTAAACCAATGACACAGGCAACTGTCTCTGTCTCTGAGTGATCCACACGTACTCGTACATAACCATGCAGTGTTGAGACCAGATACAAGTAGACTTAAATCTGCCAGTACATCCAAATGAGGTCTGATGCACACATTCGTTCCAACAACAGACCTTATTTGGAGGGAAATACTCTTCTCTCTTTTGACGTTTTTCCCTGATCAAGACATTTTAAGTGGACATTTTGAGCATTAAATTTGAATAAAAAATACCCACTTTTATAGCACTTTTCTAGAGCAAAGAATAGCAGAGTGTGCTGTCCACCCAACCATCTGTAAATTATCAATAGGCTTGGACAGTATTTTGGTATGATCCAAAAGTGGTGGTATTTTTCAATACCGAAAAATACCAACTTGTGGTGCATAAATACTGAAATACATGTACCAGCAATTTGGATACCATGGTATTCTTGTTGATATGTTTTGAAAATAAAGGAAAACCACTCCATCTTTTGTGGCACAAGTCATCTAGTGTTAACCAGTATCTGCATTGTTACTTGGACATGGTAACATGAGACTTAAACAACCGCCAACCCACCAGCCAAAAAAAGCCTTTGAAAGTTTATGATCCCCCTTTCATTGTGTTTGTGGTTTTGGTGTACATGAAGCTTTTAGAGTCTGACTGGAAGTCAGTAGTACATGTAGTTGCTGGCATTCCCAGTGACTGTCAATGATTATCTCTGTTTTGTTTTGTTTTTTATGACACACACACTTAATACCCCACTTCAAAAAAATCACAATTTAAGTGAATATAGTGGTCTTTTTATCACGAATATCGCAGCAGTAGAAAACATGCAATACTGTCCAAGCCTAGTTATCCATGACTTTCCCTGGATTCAATATGGCTGACGTTGAACGTTGCGATGTCAACAGTAAACCCTCTACTGGCAGTAGTGTTGTTTACCTCTATACTTCTCTCCACCTCAGCTGCATCCTTAAGTAGAGTATTGTTATTATCTATGTGCAGGTCACCGTCAACTCCGTTTGTCAGAGTCGGACTATGACCGTTGTCGGTTAGGCATTGTTCATCACTGTTCACATCTCCGTCCATGTGCACTGATGGGGTGCGGCTGTCCGTCTCGCCATTCATCTGAGCATGCCCATTGCTGATCTCATCACATTCCATCTGGACATCTGCCATGTCGTTCTCAACAATGTTGCTCATACCAGCACCACTCCCAGCATGGCTGCCGCTGCTGTCACCATCGCTTTGCCGATCGCTGTCCTCATCCAAGGGCTCTTGCTTTATCTGGATTCCGTCGGTGCCCATAGCTGGGCTGGATTGGCGAACTGACATTGCAGTCGTCTCTCTGTAGGAGGGGATAAAAAGGAAAAAGTACTTCATGAGAGTGCCTCCCTGTGGACCCACTAGCTCGCACTAATTTCCAGTCTCCATTGAAGCCACTTCGCCAGTGAGACTCTCTCTACTACCGTAAGGTAAGCGACGGGCTCTGCGCATTTCCTGCAAGCTCATATGAGACCCCCTAACACCTGGTAATAGTACGTGACACAATGAAAGCTGTTCCCATTATATTTCTGTCCAAAAAAATAACCATGTTCCACTTTAGGAAACCCTGGTTTCCGTTGGGCTTCTTCTCCCTATTAAAACAATGGCACTCTGGTGGTTTTTAGCATTTCTCCTGCTTACATACCGTACTGGTGCATGCACATGTACAGACTTAGGACCAGAGGGACACCATAAAGGTTTCCACAAACGGAATGCTGATTTGTATCTTCATGTACATGTATGTTGCAGGAGGACCCAGCAAATTTTTCCATTCCATCACCTACAATGTACAGTAAGCAACTCCCCCTCCCCTCCTTACAGAAGCCACTCCCACTCCCTTTTTTTGTCCTCGACATCCCTTCAATAAAAACAGCATTAATTGATGAGATCGAGTTACAGGTACGGTAGTTGATTACATTAAAAGCTTTCCAAGCGAATAAACAGGCTACACTAACCGTATCATACTGTTCATGAACTTATACACTATCTGGAACATGTGCTGGTACATAGATGTAATGGTACCCATACAAGTATCAGCGGCTGTAGCAGATCAGTGTACATGTAAGTCAAGGTACATGTGTGTTTTGCTCCAAGCGGGGCCATTGCCGAGGGGGAACCAAGGAGGCTGGGGGCCCCCCCATCAGTAAAAGGCATAAGCATGAAAAATATATTTTGTTTCTGTGATTTGGCCTTCCTACGGTAGCTGATATGAGTACTGTGGCTCCCCTTCATGCCTGAAGCTGGAGACGGTGCTGGCTGCAGGCAAATATTCACTCTAACCCTCCCAGACCCTTAAAAAACAGACAGATTTGAAGGATTTTGAAGGACTATGTGGGTAGGGGTGTTGTACAGATCAGACGCTGTTCCTTCACACGTGGGGCTTGATGCTTCTTGAATGTTAACCTCAAAACAAGGAATATACCAGGTTTCCTGTAAATGGAGCCCAGAATTTCAGAGGATTCAGCATCAGTCCAAGGAAAAAGAAAGGGTTGAAGATTTTCAAGGCAAAATATTCAGAAAGATAAACGTACATGGTTCCCGTACGTACATGTATGTGAAGGTCACGCAGCATATGCAGGGCACTGACGGCAGAGGAGGGGGCCAGTGGCTCCCCCCCCCACACTTTTTCAACTTGGGAATATCCCTCTCTCCCACTTTTTGCAGGTCCTGTGATGGGGTGGGGCTTAATGAATCCACCTTGTAACGGCAGATGCCTGACGGCCCCTAACTGCCCCCCCCCACACTTTGAAAACCACGCCACCACCGTTGATGCGGGCACTTGCTTTCCAAGGTCAGTTTGAAAAATGGTCGAAAAATCTGTTTCCTCAGTCTCAAAACTTCTCTTACCGCTGCATTTATCAATTTGACATAAGCATCCCATCTTTCTCTCCACACATCACAATGATTGTTTTGTGCTGGTGAATGATTGTGTGTCTGCGTTTCCGTCTTCCTTTTTTTGCTCTCTGTTCTTTATCAGCCCGGATGCACAAAGTTTTGCGGAACTTATTCATAGGATATACATGTACCTGCAAAACAGTGAGTCACAAACCTTGTAGTGTTAATGCTCTGATCTTGAACTACTAGGACAACCGCAACCAGAGAAAATTAGGGTACATGGGAGCTCGCACGCGACGTAGCTTGGAGCGCCGGACAAATTAAGACAAAGGGGAAGGTGTTGACATGTCAGGGGGAAGCCCTCGCATCATTGTCTGCCAGGCGTTCGGACCGACGGCGCCAATTGTTCAGTCCAGGGAGGATAACACCGCTGAAACAATCCACTTTTTCTAATAGCTCCTTTCCCGTCCACCTGCGCGGCGAATAGCGATCCGCCGTGTTTAAGAGATTAACTCAATGGGGGGCAGGAAGCAGCCTACTGGAGAAGCAACTTAGCACTAGCAATATCCGACGACTAACCGACTCAGTCATGCAGCATCAAGGAAAGATTAAAGCCGAATGAATGACAAACTGAAAGAAAGGTTGCTACTTTGAAAACGTACCTCACTGGCATGACTGGATGGATACATACATGTACACTATGTAGTTACATATGTAGGACTCTCGTTAAAAAGTATGAAATAAAGGAGATGTGAACAATAGATGCAGTTCCAATGTTCTTCCAAATCATAATGTGGCAGCGTTTTGAAACATACATGTAGTCAAAAGTTGAATCATTTCATGCGGTCTTGCATTAGACAGATACATGTACCAAGTGTCGTGATAGCAAAAACAATCTGATTAAACCTGAAACTGAACGGAGGATATCTGAAGCAGAATTCCAGTGGTCAACCAATACTACTAATGCACTAGTACATGTGTAAGCCACATACAGTGGCCGCACCTGTACAAAGATGCACAGTGCGGCACCTACACATGTACAGTGGCCGCACCTGTACATAGATGCACAGTGGCCGCACCTGTACACAGATGCACAGTGGCGGCACCTGTACACAGATGCACAGTGGCGGCACCTGTACACAGATGCACAGTGATGGCACCTGTGCACAGATGCACAGTGGCCGCACCTGAACACAGACGCACAATGGCCGCACCTGTACACAGACGCACAGTGGCCGCACCTGTGCACAGATGCACAGTGGCCGCACCTGTGCACAGATGCACAGTGGCCGCACCTGTGCACAGATGCACAGTGGCCGCACCTGTGCACAGATGCACAGTGGCCGCACCTGTGCACAGATGCACAGTGGCCGCACCTGTGCACAGATGCATGAGTACAAATACATGTACATGCACACAAGTGTCATATAAATGTGCATTTGACTGATTATCTTTAGTCTCATCTCAGGAAAAAGTTAGTCTGAACAAGGTGTATCTACAATCAGAGATTTAGAAACTAGGCACCACATCACAAGCCGAAGATACCCAATCCATGCTATATGTGCTCTCTGACCAGGGTCTAATTTCAGACAATGTTTCTGGGCAATTCTTTTGTTTTGTGATGAGGGAAAAGTTAGCCGGGGAACCAGTGCCATACCATACCGGGCAATGCAAGTTAAAGTGAGGATCATTTATCGACTATTAATTGATTTTCCCTGGTAACCAGCGCAAAAATTGGAACCCTGGGCACCAGGCAAGTTTAACCCAAGGTCGTAGCTTAGATTTACCCCTGCATGCATGAAGTTTCAGCTAACAATTCCCTCCATGCCTCCAGGTACTTCTGCTGCAACGTTTTCTGGGCTTAGCAAATTTTCCACTCAGCAGCCATACTGGCCCCTGGCATCTACATGAAGACCACTGGAGAAAAAAAATCTCAGGGAAAACTGTTGAGGGCAGCAAACTTTTAACATTCTTGGATTCAAACCACATGTATGCACTTAAAACTTGATTTATGATGGCACACACCTGAAGTACTTGAGAGTTCGAGACTCTTGTTGCTGGATGAGACAGGTTATCCCGGACAAGCGAGCCCCTTCCCTGTACCGCCCCTCCTTATCCCAAAACCCCACAGGGTCAACCCCCCGCCCCCAAAAAAGAGTTAACAAGAGCCTTACCAGAGAATGTCTCCGACAGTGGACGGATATAACAGTAATTGCGTATTTTCATTTCGATTAGCTTATATCCTGCCGAGGGGAGGTTGGCGTAGCCTCAAGGCATTATGACGTCATCTGGGGGGTATTGTTAGAGTCAAGGGCAGCTAGAATTCAGTGAGCCAAGCCGCAGGGACCAGGAGCCTATCAGTGCAACTTACACAAGACACAAAAAAAGGACGAGAATAAAGACATTCGGTTTGTCACGTCAAGGAAATCAAGTCAGAATGGTTTATGATTCATTGCACCATACATGTATGTAACATTTGACTTACACTCTCTGCATTTATACACAAGACACCCCTTGAACCTGACTTGTTCTCTTTAAATATCCAAACTCCCCTGGCACGATTGCTTGGGGGCATAAGCTGGATCTCTGACCCACATGAAACATGGCACACTGACCCGTATGAAATAACGGCGTCTACAACTGAGACTCCTTAATCCTTCAAGCCAATGCAAAACCTTGGCCAGGAATCAAATGAATTCAGAGTGGGAAAGGATTAAATCGCGGGATCTGTGTCGAGCCTCATACTACAGATACTTCAGTAATTCAAATTTTATCGAATGAACTAAAGGTACGTGCAGGTGTTGTTGCTAGCAGGAACAATCATGATTCAAACAAAGAATACGGCTGGAGTGGGACAAGACCTATGACATTCAGAATGCCCTGATGGCATCCTTTATGATGTAAGGGCCTCGAGCTGGACCAAGAGAGGGCGCTTTCTTCTTCGCAACAGAGGCTCCTTTGGTCAGAACTGATCTTTGCTGGTTCATGAACGACTAGGAAATGCACGTGTCATGGTTGCATCGCTACCAACACTCCTGACCAACGCGGCTCTTTTCAACTGATGAGGGGGTGCTTCCGCTCAAGGCGGATACATGCACAATGGTAGAAAATCCTCCCATCTGGCCAAATCTTCTCTCAAGAGAGCTACTCAGAAGCCATATACTGTAACTCTGTTCTCTGCATTCTAGTTGCTAATGATCATATTCAGAGTCACAATACAAGCAGAATTCGAGATGTTGCATAATTTAAGGGTAATCTGACATATAAATTTTGTCTTTAGAGTTTGTAAATCCACCTGTGAGCGCTAAAAAACTACATGGGACTTTATTCGTTCGATTTACAGACCTATGCTATACACTGTATGTGCAATGTACATGTACAATACTCTTTGTGTACTGCACATGCAGTCCAATGGTGTTTGATTTACCTATGATATTGCTCGAGTTTCTAAATGTTCTACATGTATAT